CAGTCTCTCTTCATAGGAGAGATGTGCAAGTTCCTCAGTCATCCTCGTAGCTCTTCACTGGACTCTTTCCGGTACGTCCCTGTCTCTCCTGAATTGGGGAGCCCAAAACTGGACACAGTATTCCAGGTGTGGTCTCACTGGGGCAGGGTAGAGGGGAAGGAGAGCTCACTAGACCTGCTGGACACACTTTTCCTAATGCATCCCAGGATCCCCTTGGCCCTCTTGGCCACAAGGGCACATTGCTGTCCCATGGACAACTCACTGTCCACTAGGGCTCCAAGGTCTTTCTCCACAGGGCTGCTTTCCAGCAGGATGCCCCCTAATCTGTACTGGTGCTTCATGTTATTTCAGATTAAGGAATCAGAATAAGGTTTGAATCAGAATAAGATTTTGACTTTTTTTTTTTTTTTTTTTTAGAGTACCCTTGAAAGTGGAACAAGCAAACAATGCTCGTGATGCCTTGGCTAAAACGGTGTATAGTCATCTGTTTGACCATGTAGTCAACAGGGTAAACCAATGTTTTCCATTTGAGACTTCTTCTTTCTTCATTGGAGTTCTAGATATAGCTGGCTTTGGTAAGTATACTTAAAAAATAATTAATTTTCTAGTTGTTTATTATTGTCACCAAAGATTCAGTAATAATAAATTCTGTAATAGACAGTGGAAAGGTATTCTTTTTGGTGATGCTAAGTGGGATGGGCTACAAGGGTTTAAGATATCAAGAGAGTAGGTAAAACCTCATTTTACCAAGATACAAGAATGCAGAGGAGGTCTAGACCTTCTCCCAGTGACCTAATAACAGTTAATGTGAAGCTGAACATATTTGTAATGGTTTCAGATTCCTGTAGTCTCTACGTAGACACACCTTTTGAAGGACTAAAAATTCAGAATGAAATCTTACTGTGGCCACGCAGAAAAATTGGGAAAGGCATTTCACATGTGTGCTGAGAAGCTCAGTGCATACTGACAGACAGGGAAACAAGTCTCTGATTTAAGATGTGGTTTCCTGGAGGATGGAAATTCTGTTACAAAGCTGGGCTTGGGGCTCCTGGTTGCTCCCAGCACGTGGTGGGCATCGATATTTCCTGTTCAGCTTTTATCCTGTGTGGCTCACTGAGATTCGGGGTAGGATGTGTTTTCTGGTGTGCTCTAGCTCTGCTAAGGTGGCCCAAGAACAGTGAAAAAGGGACCCTTTGATTTTCAGGTCTTTAGAGCTGTGATATACTGTGCAGCCTTCCATAGCACGGGTCCATGAGAAGGTGTTGATACTGTTTCACTGTACGGTAACATCTTACTTTGGTTTGCTGCTAGACAAAACAGTCTGTTACTTGCCTTAGAAGTATGATCTGCCTGAGTGTTTTTACACCTGTCTTAAAAGCAACTTGAAAATCTGTAAAAGCTTTTATTTTACTGAAAGAAAGAGATATGGATCTGAACACATCTTTAAATATTAGCACTGTGAAGCTTCTCTTACTTAGTATCTCAATTTTCAGAACACTGATTTATCATAGAAGTTTAACTTCTCTTTTTCAGAATACTTTGAACACAACAGTTTTGAACAGTTCTGTATTAACTACTGTAATGAAAAATTGCAGCAGTTTTTTAATGAAAGGATTCTGAAAGAGGTATGTTACATTTAATGTTATATTTGAAGATTTATTTATTTTTTTGGTAAAAAGTAGCACTGCTTTCCATAAGATTGTACATTATGCTTAGATTTAAAAATACTGAGTTTACAAACTGTTTTTCTACTGTGTGACATCTAGCTGTGCCAGAAAATAGTATGGCTTTTTGAAAACCAACAGTCTTTTTTTGTTTTTTGTCTTCTTTTTTACCATTCATTAAAATGAAGCATTCAGATGTTGGTCAATAGTTCATACTTAATGGTCCTGTCCAATTCCACATGCTTATCATTAGGGAAGTCAAGTTGGAATGTGTTAAGCTGGGGAAGGAAATTCTAAAATGTGTGTGATTCATGCTGTATTTAAGAATGTCTTCGTGTTTATTTAAAAAACATTTTTGGTGCATAAAAAAAATTATAGTGAGTGGTATTTTTAATTCTCAGTTAGTCATTTTGTAAAATCTATTTTTAGGAACAAGAACTTTACCAAAAAGAAGGCCTGGGGGTTAATGAAGTTCGCTATGTAGATAATCAGGACTGTATAGGTATGTACTTCTTGAAATGTCAGACTATTCATTAGTGTCAGGGAGTAAAAAAGCTTCAAGCAGAACAGGCAAAATATGCGTAGCACTAGTGATTTTATGCTTTTAATGACTGTTGAAACCTTGTGAATTCTTCCAGCTTTCTAAAATATTCCCGTGTGGGCTGGTGATAGAGCTGTGTTGTCCTACAGCGTGTGGTAACTGCAGCTGGGACTTGTGTATTTTGTGTGCATTTTCATAGAAAACTAATCAGAACACCTCAGTAGGCTAAATGAAGCATAGAAGAGTGTGAGGCTGTCTGAGCAAAAATATTCCATGAATTAAAAAAAATTGCATCCCATTCCCCCCACTTTTTTTGAGCCAGTGAGCAAAGATACAAAATGAGCTATAGGTGGCAGACTGTAGATGTTACTGCTGGTTTTAGGTTTCCACAGACCAAGGTACTGGAGGCTGAAGATGTTGTTGGTTGGGGTTTTTTTTCCAGCGTTCCACTAGTGTTCTCCTAATTGATGAATTGTGAGCAAAAGTTCATCTTGCTTTTGCATTTGCACTGATTCGCTTATGGTAACTACTCAGTCTTGGCTGAGGAGTGGATTCAGAGTGACAGAACCAACTTCTATTGCAAAATGTTTGCTTTTTCTGGGTTCTGTAGCTTTCATTTTGTCAGATAGGACTGTACAGTCACTAAGTCTGACTTAACCAAAGACAACTCTTTTCAAGCAAACCTCTGGCCATCTTGTGAAAAAGCATCAGGAATGTATTTGGAGGAGGGAACAAAAGCACAGCAACAGGAAATAAGTAACTTCAGTGAACACAAATTGTATTTCTTCTAGTGGTTTAATAATGTGTTTATGAGCCTGAGCCTCTTCCCAACAATGTTGTTGTAATTGAGAGACTGTCATATTTCTGTAAAAGGGGTCACTCCCCTTCAGTGCATGTTCCTCTTTTTCCTTTTTTTTGAAATGGAACAAAAGGGGTTCCCTGGAGGCTGTTGGAAGAAGAGATCTGTGTCAGATAGTAGAAATTTTTGCAGAGTTGTTGCCTTTTTCCTGCCATAGAAGAGGTTTGGACAGCTTACCCCTTTTACTATTCCAACCAACATGTGACACCTCACCACAGATTTGACACATTTCTTCATTGTGTGAGTTACCCTTATACAAGTTAATAAAATATAGCTTAGTTAAAACCACAGCACGTATTCCTTTTTCCTGTTCTTGCATAGTTAAAAGGATTTTCTGCTGCCTTTTGAAGTGAGCGAGAAAAATAATGTTGGTTTCGGTTGAAATATGATTTTGCTTCAGGTGTTGAACCAGGCTGGTGACAGCAGTGAACATGTAGAAATATTATCTGTCACAAAAGAGGCAGCTATTATGTTGACATGGACAATGTTTTAACATATGGAAGAATCTCAGAAGCAGTCATTAGTATGTTAGAATGCTTTGATGGAACGGTAGTCCTCTCTCTAGCTAAATTAGCTGATCTATATTTTATAAGCATAAATTCTTCGTGTTGGAGCTGTCTTTGTGCTTTATGTGTAGCTTCATCCTGTTTACAGGCTGTGGTGAGAGTTCATAGGCATGGCTGCAGTTCGAGCATTAGTCATTTCTTCCTTCCCACCAAAAAACAGTAGGTAGTAAAAATTCCTCTTACAAGAACAGTTCCATAGGTAATACAAAAAAAGTTTTAAAAGCTGCAAGATTGTTGTGGCTGACAGTTTCAAGAGCATGAATTTCTCTGTCAGATTTCAACAGATTTTGTATTTGTATGTGAAAGGTCAAGGCAATATACTTGTAAAAAGTTGTGGAACTGCCGCTGTATAGCTTGTCTGAAGTGCCTTTCTTAAATAAATTTCATTTTTCTCCCTGGATCCTGTGGTGAATGGAAGTATGTTCTTTTTCATGCTTTTAGTTTTGACATGTGGTGAAATGTGGATGAAAAGCTTAAACCTCCCCCCTCAACCAACAATACAAGCAGTTATCCCATAAAGACCTATATGGTCATACCACAGGAACATTTAGGCACCTTTTGGGAATTAGATGACAAAATTAAACTTGAGAGCCAGAGTATAAATCAAGCAATATGTGCCTCGTCTTTTTCCCCATTTTCCTTGTGTTAGAATTAGAACATGACATATATAACATACCAATTAAATCAACAGTTCAGATATGTATAATTAATCTGCAGTGACTTCTTGTATTTCGTGTTAACAGCTTTCCCTAGATATTTTTCTACAGAACTGGATCAGTAACATTTTAAACTTTTAATGTTCGGTTCTGATACAAGTTTATATATTCATTTTTTGTAAATGTGTTTTGTTCTGTTAACAGATTTGATTGAAGCAAAATTAATAGGTGTACTGGATATTTTGGATGAAGAAAATCGTCTTCCCCAACCAAGCGACCAGCATTTTACTTCAGTAGTGCACCAAAAACACAAGGACCATTTCAGGCTCTCTGTAGGTTTATTTTTGCTGTCTGTCTTGTTTTAATAAAACAGTTTTTGGAACAGTTGATAGTAACGTTTCAGTTTAATGAAAAACTTTCCTAAGAAATCTCATACCAGACCAGTCTGCACAATCCATATTTTGTTAAGGACAGGTTTGGTTATTATGTTTGCTGAAAAGTTCACTGGAGGCTTAAGTCATCCAGCAGTTCTAATATCAAAGCCATATTCTTCACTTACATTTGAACTCTGTTAGCATGTTATGAAAAAGTAGTAAAAACACGTTTTAATTTAGATTATTTCGTATCAGATGTGATATCTTGTTTTTCCTTTTGAAAATTGCTTGCTTTGGAGAACATTTGACTCGCATGGAGTGTCTAGCTAGCACTTCAGAGATCCAGATAGGAAATGCACAAAGAAAACCCGATTGTTGTTAATTCTTTAACATACAACACTCTGTAGAAGATTAATGCAAAATATTGTAATTTAAGTACATGATTTCTGTTGTAGTGCAAAAAAAAAATTAGTTCAGTGCTGAAAAAATGCAAGCAAAACAAGCCAAATAAAATTGGCCTCCATTTACGTTTCATTAAGTTTCGATTTAGTCTTGCTTAACTGGATGAAACAGTTGTAACGTTCTTGTCGGTGTGTGTATGATCAAGTAGGTGATAGCCTTTTAAAATATACCATCTAAAACGTATTTTAAGTTTCTGTCTACTCCTATTCATATGCTAAGGTCATTTATCAGCTGTGGAATGAATGGTAGAGAAATTGTTGATTAAAGGGAAAAAGAAAATCGACTAGCTGATGTTAAGAATCCTGATGATTTTATTTTGAATATAAGGGCATGAATGAGAAGGAAAATAAATTTTTGGAATATCTTGTTTGAAATGGAAGTGCTAGTGGTTATCACAATTGCGCAGCAGGAAATTTTTGTTTTTTAACACCTAGTGTTCCTGACAGCATCATGGTAATATTATAAGAATAACCGTTTTCTCACTCTCTAGTGAAATTCTTCTTTATAATTCAACTTTTTAATTCCAGATTCCTAGAAAGTCTAAATTGGCTGTTCACAGAAATATCAGAGATGATGAAGGCTTTATCATCCGACATTTTGCAGGAGCAGTATGCTATGAGACGGTAATTTTACTTGTGCAAAGCTATCTGTGTTACGCTTTGTAGTACTTTGTGTTTTCCAGTATATATCGGTTAAATGACAAAAATTTCCCTTCATCAGAAGAGAAATCAAAAGTTGATATTTCTTAGCTTTAAAACTAATTTTGTATGTGACAAAACTGACAATTACTTTGAACTCCTCAGATTACAGACTGTTTTGGTGACATACATTTTATATAAGAATTTGTTGTAAATCTGTAGGTAATGATGTCAATATTAACTATTATTGATTCATGATCTACTGCAAATCTTATATCAACAGACATCTTAGGGAGAGGAATACACTATGTGATAAAAAAAGTATTTTTAGAGTAGCTTTTCAGAAGCATATTTATCCTTATGTGCAATCACTGTTTATGTTATATTAAAAATCACATTTCATACTTTTTGTTTTCAATATCTACTGGCCATGGAATCATTCATGTAAGAATATGAAATACCTAAAATTGCTACCCTCAAGATACATTCCATATTGTTATACTTTATTGACTATTCATCATACAAAAACAATGAAGCCAATATCTAAACCCTTTTTTTTTTTTTTTAAAAAGGAAGAGTTTAGGATAAACAGGAGATCCATAATGCTTCATTGTTCTGGTCTGTAACTCCATTGTGTAAGAGGGAAGCTGCTTCCAAAGGTGGTGTTTTGTCACCTGAAAATGTGTACTTTAAGGGCTTATTTACTTCAAAAGACTCAAAGAATGATAATTGCTGTGCTGTTCTGAAGAAGGTCGTTTTACAAATAAGAAAATTGAAGTCTGTGTGTTACCTACCTGATTTTTCAGACGTCACTCTGTGAGGCAATACAAAATAATAAATAAAATCAGAGCTCATTTGTTCCAAGTGCTCTCTGTTTAACTGTGTACCTTGTCACAATATGCCAGAAATGCCTTAGAGCGTCTTTGTGAACAGAGGAGGCAGCTATGAACACAGAAGCTCTGCTCTCAGAGCTGTTTAGATACAAGGTAGCTTTGGTCCAGAAGCTGTGCTGATACACCTGACTTAATTTCTCTCCTCCCTCAGAGGGGCCTACTTACCTTGGGCCTTAAAACTTTTGGACTACAACTGCCTTGTGCCTCACCTGTTACTTGTTTTTCTGTCTCATTGCACTTGTGGCAGTTCTCACAGTGTCATTCGTGGTGAGGACATTCGTCTGGCTGCTTTCGTATTCCAGTCTTGTGTTTTTGTAGTCCAGTAGAATTTTTGAAGCCTGTCTTCGTCCTTTCATGCTGGTCACCATTAAATCCTTTTATGGGATATCTGGCAAGGTCATATTTTGTTCAGATTAGTCTTAGCCTCTTTCTATTCATGAATATCAAAGTCACTCTTAAAGGTGCACCAAAAGCTATTTAGAATTTTGTGTGAAATTGAATACTAGTGTCTTCATCTCTGAATTTCAGTATATTGTATTTTTCTCAACTTCCAAAATTTAGTGAGCCAATTTAAATAAACCAGAGAGGTAAGGTTCATAGGAAAGGACAGCATCTTTTATTAAATCAGCTGGTTGAAATAACCATTTGTCGTTTCGTTTTCTCAGCTGTGTAGATGCAGCAGTTAAAGTGTGCATGTTAATTCCCATTTCACAACAGATCTTTAGTGATGTTACAAGCAGTGAAGAATTTAGCTTCACAGAACTCTCAAGTGATGATGTACTGAGTGCTGGAAATGGAAACAAGGAGAAGAATCATTGACGAAAATACAGCTGATATCGTAGAAAACACTAAACCTTACCTTGAGTTTCATGACTGTAACAACATCCTTCTAATTTAAGAATACCTTTTCTCTCTGTCATTTGTGTTTTGTGTGAACAGTTAAGAAATTGTTTGAAATAATGTATGAATGTTTAACCCCCCCATATTCCTGAAAAAAAGTATGTAGCTGTGGGGTTTTTTTTAAATTTTATTTAAGACTTAAGTAACTGGGCTGGTGAAACAAATGTGCTATTATTTCTTGGATTGTCTTTTCAGATGCAATTTGTGGAAAAAAACAATGATGCTTTGCACATGTCTCTTGAATCTCTTATATGTGAATCCAAGGACAAATTTGTTCGACAGCTGTTTGAATCTAACACCACCAACAACAAGGATCCCAAACAAAAAGCTGGGAAACTTAGTTTCATCAGCGTGGGAAACAAATTCAAGGTAACATAATAGGGCAAAGAATCTTTCCTTCTTTCAATATGTGCCACTTTTAAGTTACCTGAAGTAAGTAGAATCAAAGTTGGGAGAATTAGTGGTAAATTGAGATTCAGACAAAGAAAATTTCAGTAAATAGAGTTTTTTTCTATTGAATTGTAAGGAACCGGTATATTCAAGGTATGAGGTATCAGTTTCTGTCAGAATGTATTTTATAATAGTCCTTCCAGAGATTATACAGTAATTTTAAAGTCACAATTTTGCAAAGTATTATAGAAGTTTGTATTCAAAAGGTCTAAAATATTGAGATCTAAATTTAGATTCTGTGAACTTTAAGGGGTTCTAAAAGTGATGAAAGACGTCCTTCAATCCTGTCTGAATTGTGCATTCTAGAAGATGTATCAGTTGGCTTTCTCATGGTTTGCCATTCTCAAAATTCAGTACTTAACCACTGTTTTTCCTCTTCTAAAATATGTAGTCTTTCACAGAAAGATGTTCTTTATGCTGAATATTTGCTTTCTCAATACCTGAATCTGATACTTCTCCTCGTTTTCTCCTTTCTTCTGCTTGTTGTAAAGCTGACCTTCAAACCTTGTCTCCTCCAAATGTTTTCTGCATCCTTTTCTCATTCAGCAGTTATTTTTTAGCTGGACTATTCCAGCTCAGGATGGCTAGAAAGAAAACTGTAGGGGAATTAAGAGATGAAAAGCAGGCACAACCGTGAGCTGCAGGTAAATTTTTCAATCCTGTGGATTTACTGTTGGTAGAGCTGCTGCAGTTCCGGCAAGAGCTCTTCTCAACGCATCTGGGCCAGATCCAATGAAGGATTTGTATGCCTTCAAAGTCAAGTGCTGCAACATTTTTGGGTATGCTACCTTACCTGGGGCACCTAAAACCCCACATCGTATTCCTGGCTGGACTCATTACACAGTTCCTCAGGAAAGCAGGTATCTTAATCCAAAAAACCTTCTAGTAGACTGGGACACTACTAATGGCTGAAGAGTGTTTCTGCATTTCTGCTCCATGTCAAGTTTAAGTGCTGGACCAGGACTGTAAGAAGAATTCTGTCTTGCATAATCATATCTCGTGGCTGTTCTCTAAAACACAGAGACTGAGGAACAGGACAGATATGGTAGCAGCACTTGCTTCTTGTATAGCAAAAGGATTCTACTTCAGGTCTGTGCTCGATTCAGTGTTTCGTATCTACTGTATTTCCTGCGCAGCCAAGTTAATGATCAGTCTGACAAAGGGGATTCTCCTTATATCCTTCTGGAGGTGGCTTGAAATAAAACTTTGGGGCAAAGAAGAGTAAGAGACAGTGTGACTTGCAGGGCAGTGGTTTGGATATTTAACTGGATTACTGAGCAGCGTGCTCTCCTGAGTTTTGCTCTCATAATTACTTCCTCCTCCTTTTTCTTATATGGTGGTTGTAGAATTAAACTTTGGCAATTGTTTTAATATAAAATGCATGATCAGAAGGCAGGCTGAGAAATGGAATTACAGACAAATAAGCCATCTCCTGAGCCAACCCTGTGACAATGAGTCTGTTGCAAACCAAGCTAGGATCTGTTGTTTTTTAACACTACATTTGCAAAACAAAACCAACTGAGGGATCTTTGAGATAGTTTCCCCTTCGTTCCATCTGGGTTTTCAATACCTCTTTGATTTAGCACCGCACATCCAGTAGATATGGAGTGATACCGCTGTCCAGGGAAGGCTGAAGTAAAAAACAGGAGGCATTTTTTAAGTTAAGCAGCAATTGAGTGGGGAACTTTTTGGATTGCCTTTTGGACTTTTGGTGTTCACCTCTAAACCTAGAACATGCCTAAAGTCCTCTTTGGATCTGGCCCATTAATCTGTAATTCTTTCAGTGTTTTCAAATTTCATGGCATTTTGAATGTATGTGTTACTTCCAGTAATTCATTTAGTGTTATCTTCCCAGACACAACATGTGCTGCTGATGAACACTAATAGCCTTGAAAATTTCATGTCAGATGACATAAAAAAAAGTTCTATTATCTTAGAAGAAATTTCGTCTCTTTAAGAAATCTTACGAGCGTCAGTATGTCAGTCAGTTTCAAATTCTTCTAATTACATCAATTATTAGATGCTGTTGCAGGGACTTCTTTTTATGAAATCCTTTACACATCCCTTCCTTATAACTAATTAAGATTAATTCTCACAAATCAGTTGAGGAAATAATGATGATTTAGTTCATCAGATGTACTCGAGAGTCTTGGAGGTAATTTTAACTTACTATGGTAATAATGGATTAAATTGTAATAATTCAAAGAGCAGTAGTTTTAGCAATATGTTTTATTCATATGATCATTTTGTTAGTGAAATTTACCCGAGAATGTTTATTTCTTGTCAAATCACAGAGTATAAGGAAGGGGAGTTTTTCCTCTAGCTGAAGTGTATTTTGTTGGTGGCATTTAGGCTGTCCCTCCAAAATTAAGCATGTCTGACTCAAGAAACCATAAAGATTCTATTCAAGTAGAGATGTAAAGAGTATGTTCAATTGAGATCTGAGCAGGAGGTTATTAGTGTTTGTCATGCCTCTTCTGGCTCTCCTCTTTTTATAACCATATCTACGATAAGTTTAAAAAAAAACCAACATAGACCAGTTTTATCCACTAGAAAAATAACTGGCAGCTCTAGGCGATACATATTGCCCATAAAAATCTGGTTTCTTGGATTCAAGGTGATTGAAGGATCTGGTTAAAAAAAACCCTGATAAATTAGTCAAAAGTCAAATCTTTTCAATTTGGTTCCAATACAGAAAATTAAGAATATGTTAGGACATAGAGAATTTTGTCTTAAAGCCTTCTAGTAAACTAGAAAGGCTGGTGCAGCAGTGATCTGTACATCTGTAAAGTAAAAGTGTAGCTATTTTCCTGATGTGATTCTGGAATATTTTAAGTCTCTGCCAGTTTCATTTAATAGCAACTGTAATTCATTTTTACCTGATAGCCTTAAGTCTCTGGTGATCCTGGAGACTTGCCTCCACACAATCATAGGGCTGTGGTCTTTCCTCATCACAGTATGTTTAAATCCAGCCTCAGTAAATAATGATTTTAAAATTATAGTCTATTGTCATCAGCAGAGAATTAAAATTTTGAAAGTTTAAAATTAAAGTAAATTATGGAGGTTCATTCACTAAATGTTGACGTAACCTCAAAAAAGACAAGAAAACCCTGAGGATATTTGTTCTACCTAGTAAGTATTTAACATAGAAATATAAGCTTGTTATAGATTAAGTTTGGACTTTCACAAATTTTCAGTGTATTTTTTCTTTAAAGTATTGCTGACAGTCTCATTTTCTTTATAATTTTATTACATAGCCTTTATTTCCTTTATTTTCCCAAATGAGCTTGCACTTTTTTTTTGTAACTGTTGTAGTAACTAGTGCGTACAGTGTTCTTGCACAATTAAACACAAGCAATTTCCTCGGGACCATTCATGCGCATTTGCATGGTTTTGTCTGTAAAAATTTGTTACCGTTGTACTAACAATGAGCATGCACACAGTAATGCTGGACCACTATTCTGTCGGTTCTGTAGCTGTCATGGTAAGACTCTTGAAATATCTGTTTTCTTTTACAGACTCAGTTAAATTTGCTCCTTGAGAAGCTTCACAGTACTGTAAGTATATATATAAATGCTGGTTCATAATTTTTGAATTTAAGTCGTAACCGTATCTCAACAATATGACTTAGAAGAAATCTGACAAGCTTTAGAATTTGCAGTTGTGTGGCACTTTCGAAGCATCTTGCTGTGCAGGTGATGATTATTGAGTTACTTTAAAAATACCCACCACATTTTAAAAAGTTGGTTTAGAATGAAAATTACACCATTTAAGTAAACAAAACAAAGTTTATCTGGATTGAAATTTCCTTTTTTGTCAATTCCTTCCATTCCCTGGTTATCGTTGATTAATTTGCAGAAGATTTAGAGATGTTATTTGGAATTAAGGATAATTTATTACTAATTATGTTTTTCAGATCCAATAAATTGTTCAAAATAGATTTTTTCATTTCACTTTTGTGTTAGGCTGTAAATGGTCAAAGAACCTTAGTGCCCTAATGAGTATTTGCTAATTTAGCATCATCTAGATTTTGTTTGTTTATTTGATTTGGGCTTTTGTTTGAGTTTTTTTGTTGTTTTGGTTGGATATTTTTTTTTGTTTGGTTGTTGGGTTTTGTTGTGTTTTTTTTGAACTTGGAGTCGTAGGAATGTATTCTTGTTTCTTTTGACTGCATGTTCTAACCAATTCTAGATGCAAGGTGGTGCTCTGTCAAAAAAAACAGAAAGGGGGAAAACCGTGGGAAACAAATGGGACAGGTGCTAGGATGTAGCTCATACTATAATTTTCCTGTAGTCATGAAGCTGGTCTGAAAGAAAGGTGAGCTGGAACTGAGACAGTCCAGTGAAAAAATATGTGGCCGGGCTTGCTGTGCTCTGATCTGAGCTCTGGGCTGAGCTAACCCATGAGCGAGGAGGTTGTTGTTAATGTAGAGCTCCCTCGGTTGGCACGCTCTCACTCTCAGCTGAGAGACTGGAAAAAGAGAGAAGAAACTGCAAACCGGGAGTAATACTGTGTTTTCTCAGTCCTAATTTTTGGTTTGTTATATAAGGTAGGTTATCATTAGCAGCCACCCGTTACAGGACAGTCAGAATAATTGGATAAGGTTTTGCAAAAATCTAATCCTTAATGAATGTGAAATGATCAGAGACAGCAGTCGCCAAAATTGTAGAGATGGCGCACGTGGAGATAAGAGAGGGGCAGACTGGAACAGCGTGGGGGCAGGGAGAGTGAAGCCATGAGCCAAAAGAAACTATTAAAAGTAAAAGAAGACAGGAAGGTGAAGTTCATCTGGCGTGATTCCCGTGTCAGGAGGCTGGTACAGTGTTCACTGATGTGAACTTTGGAGGACTGAGGCATCTACGTGATGTGACTGTAGGAGATAACGAGGGTAGTAGAAACTAGACTGCTAGATCGTAATTAGATTGTACTAACCTTCAGAAGAACAGTTGAATAAAAACTCAAAAGTTGAGGATCCAATTAAGTGTTAGTTAGGTCAGTTACATCAAGGCCAAGGCTAGAGGGCGAAACTGATAGATGAGAGAAAAAGAACATCAGTATTTCTCTTTTAGTATACTATTATTTTGTATCTTTGTTTTTCCTCCACTCAAAATTCTTACATTATTAAGCATTATTTTAGGAAGTTTAAAAATGTATAGATTCCGCTAACTTCTTGTTTTGGTAATAGGGGTCTAGCTTTATTCGCTGTATCAAACCTAATTTAAAGATGACAAATCACCATTTTGAAGGAGGACAGATCCTCTCTCAGCTTCAGTGTTCAGGTAAAGTATGCCTCTTGATATTTTCCCCTCTGTTTATTATTTTTGGCATTACAGATTCACCTAAGTTTGAAATATGTGAGACAGAAGCAATACTTCCTGCTTGAACTGTTGCTTTCTAGAAGCCAGCTTATTTTTATGCCTTTTGAACAGTTACTTAGATTCTTAGTACCTTACCTCTCACTTTAGTCGATAGAACCCTAGAAATAATTTATCTGAACGGCCATGAGATCTCTTCTTAGCAAGAAGAGTTGATGTAATTTCCATCTACTGTTTTTCCATTGATGATAAATGAGAGTTTGGATGCCAGGTGCATATGTAAGAAGCCACATGGCCATATAGTGGCACATAAATTTAGATTTCCTGACCTGCAGTTGAATCCAATCTCTTTGTGTCGCCCACAGTGTTAATAGGGCAGCAGTTCAATCCAGAACAATAGAATTCCTTTAAATTACTGTGGCAGTTGAAGTGTTAGAAAATCCTGTGTGTGTTTAGAGGCAGTCAGTGTTACAACTGAAACATGCCTGGTTTCTTTGATTTTGTAGATACTGTAATAGAGTTGAATCGTATTGATGTGCTTTTTCAAAATTTCTTTATACCACTGTTAATTTGCTTTGGAGCTGAACTTCCAACAAGGGCACTTCAGCATAGTCTTTCCTTTGTTCTATTACTTTGTATACTACTACAGATTGCAATGCTGAATTTTCATTATTCTTGAAATGCTAGGCGCTTTCCATTTTTACAGCTTTATTTTAAAGCGTGAATAATAGTTTTGCTCATGCCCCACTGAACAGTGGAAGGAACTGCTTGCTTGAGAGAGTGCTGTTATTGTCATTCATTGTAGGGAGCTTGTTTATCAAAATACTTTCTTTTTTCTTTCCCCCTTTTCTGTATTTTTGTACTTTCAGTAGCTCATGCTCAATTTTTTTTCTCCTTTTGAAGTCAAGATACTTCCAGATTCTGCAGCTGTTAAACCCACATGTTTAACATCTCGTATTATCGTAAAGCTTAACGACTTTTCAGCAGTTGGAATTTCATTATAATCATTAATAGTATGTTTTTTCAGGTTAACAGCATTTGGCATGACAGAGAGGAAAAAATAACAAATTATCTGCCACCCCCAATTGCAGTGTTTTACAGTAGTCTTACAAGCTCTTTTTTCCATATATGCTTACTTCAGCAACAGTAAATGAAGCTGAAATCTGGGAAAACAGAGTTATAACATGCAATGTTAAAAGAGTTTTTTTTTTTTTCTTTTAAAATGAAAACGTCAAGTCTGCTTTAAAAAAAAAGATATTTAGAAGAAAGATTAGAAAGGAATCTGCTGCATGAGCGGGTATTACCTCTCAAATAGAGAGAAAATTGTGTGGGCTCTGCTCATCTGTTCAGTTTTCGCTTGTGAATGCTCACACAATCAAGAAATGTTAAAGACTGGATCAAGTCCCAGTTGAAATTTCTGGTTTAGCGTCTGAACGCTGTCTTTGAGGTTTATCTTATAAACTGCTGGTTTTTTGTAAAAATCACGGTTTAATTTGTATTTTACTGATGCCAGCTTTTGCACGTGTGTTCCTGTGAATTTAGGAATGGTGTCGGTTCTGGATTTGATGCAAGGTGGTTTCCCTTCACGAGCTTCATTTCATGAACTGTATAATATGTACAAGAAATACTTGCCTGAAAAATTGGCTCGACTGGATCCTAGGCTATTTTGCAAAGTAAGAAAGAACTTAATTTTTCTTCTATATCATCCAGGGCAGAAAACATATTGTTGTAGGGTTTTGTTGTGTTTTTTAAAGGAGGCAGAATATAATCCTAACTGCTTTTTGTGTTTCAGGCACTGTTTAAAGCCTTAGGACTGAACGAAAATGATTACAAATTTGGGCTAACCAAGGTGTTTTTTAGACCTGGCAAGGTAACGTTATTTCTCTTGGAGTTCATGAATAAGAATCGTGGAATAATTTCACTTTGAAGGGACCTCTGAAGTTGGACATTGTTAAACACACTGTTAAAAGTGTGACCAACTTAAGTAAGGTTGCTTAAAAGTGTGACCAACTTAAGTAAGGTTGCTCAGGACTTTTTATAAATACTGTTAATTTTTTATGAAAAAAATCAACATTAATATTGATACTGTTTTCATAGTCTTGTTGCTAATGCTGCTGTATTCCTAATGCAATGTTTGTATTCCCAGATGTTCTACCAATCACTTAAGACGTATATTGACTATTAAAAAGGGCAAGTCAGAAAAAAGAAAAACGTTTTTTTTAATAAAATGTATTTATAGCTGAAATCTGTGATTCTGAACATTGTTGCTGCTGTACAGAGAAAGGAGATGTACTAGGGAGCTGTTGTGACTAGGAGGGAAGGTAATTGCTCTTGTTTGTTATAACTACCAAAAAGCAGTGCAGGATTTTCAGAAAAGTTTGCCTTTTGTTGGACACTTATTCAAGAATTAAAATATGGGAAGTACTTTCAGGGCTTTATTTTTTTCCCAAATACAGAATTAGAAGTGTCCTGAAGTTTTGTAAGGCCAGAATAAGTGTTCAGGGTGAAGAGAAACAATTTTTTAAGATTTTGACAATAAATATTTGTAGTGATTAGTAAATGTTTGGATTCTTCAAAATGCACACAATTAAACAGAAAACCCCAGCAGTAATTTCTCTTATTATAAAAGAATAAAGTGATGCCAGACATATCTGTTGAAAGCTGGTATGATAACATACTGTAGTTCATAACTGTAGTTCACATTGAAAATGTTTTACCTTTTTAACTCAAAATGCTTTTAAATAACAATGTCTATCATTACCGAGTTTGTAAAACTTTTTTTTTATTTTTTAGTTTGCAGAGTTTGATCAGATAATGAAATCTGATCCAGATCACTTAGCAGAGCTAGTTAAAAGAGTGAATCGCTGGCTTATCTGCAGTCGTTGGAAAAAAGTTCAGTGGTGTTCTCTCTCAGTGATTAAATGTACGTATTTTACATTTTATTAAATCAAAATGTTATAAATAGAGCAAAGCAATCATTAACACCTTGAAATGTGGCCAAGGACATGCATAGCAGATGGTTGCATATTAAAATCAGAGTAATTGATTTCAAGGTTGGATGAGATTTTTTTTTTTTTAATGTTTTACATTAGGTGTGTAAAGGGGGACTGAGAGCAGAGGGTTTTCAAAGTGGGGGTGCTGCCCACCACCGGTCTCTGGGTTGGTCTGCTTGGGTGCTTACTGAAGCCTGGCTAACCAGTTGCCCAGAAATGACGAGCTATTGACAAGTCTTGCAGGGAAAAAACTTCTACATCAGCAGATCAACTCTGAGCTGACAACATGCAGTCGTTCAGTTGTGGGAAGTGCCTCCACAGAGATTGTCATCTCCAGACAGAAACTGCGTGTTTGAAAGCACCTCTGTGAATTACAGGGCAAACATCTCCAGTCCAGCAGTTACTGCTGATCCACCAAATCAGTGCCTATTGCTGTCAATACACAGTTTCTAAGTGCTTGCTACGTTTACTGTGCAGAGCAGCAATGAGCTGATGTGAAACAGAAACTTGTGCCTGTGTGGTGCTTCTGTAAGGATGTCTGGGAGATGGGGAAAGGTGTCATGCGGTATGTTAGGGATCTGTAGATAACACAGAGTGGAAAGTACACATTAAATGGGGAAGAAAAGCATAAAGGCCTCATGCCTTATACTTGTGCATTTAGGCCAGCACAGTCATGATATAGAATGGCGTAGGTTGGAAGGACCTTAGACGTCATCTAATCCAGCCTCCCTGCCCTGAGCAGGGGCACCTCTGAACTAGACCAGGTTGCTCAAGGCCTCATCCAACCTGGCCTTGAACATTTCAAGGGATGGGGCATCCACAACTTCTCTGGACAGTTTATTCCAGAGTCTTGCCACCCTCATCCTGAAGAATTTTTTCCTGGGATCCAATCTAAAATCTATTTTCCTTCAACTTAAATCCATCCCCTCTTGTCCTGTTGGTGGACACTTATGTAAAAAGTCCCTTCCCAGCCTTCCTGTAGGTTCCCTTCAGGAGCCTACATACACATCTGTCACAGATTGAGTGCTATTAATGGCTGTTTAGGCTAGGGCAGATAGAATTTGTAAATTCTAATTGATAGATTTCAGACATCAAAAACGGCAACACTAAAATCATGTTTTCAGCCTAGAAATCTATACTATTCAGTCTATTTTTCAGAAAGATAGTCTAGAAAGTCTATCACTCTGTCTGAAAAGTAAAAACCCAGGGAAACAATATTCTGGTTTCATGTGCCTTAAATTTTTTTAGTGTTTTATGGCAAACAAGAGGTTAATTTTACCCACAGAATGTAGCTGAAATAGATATGCAGAGAAGTAGCGTGCATCTTTGTGATCACCCAAGTCCAGTAATTTAATATCACTGTTCACAAGCCATGTGCTCAGCTGCTGACCAAAGGCAGTGTGGATCTTTAGGAGTCTATGTGTCCTCTCGTAAATATGTAAAAACTGCCTTTGTTGTTGCACTTTAGAGCTATTCAACACGCATGCTTGTGCCTGTGCCTTGACATTATTCTCCGTTTAACTTGCCTCCTGGTCCCAGTGATTTGAGTCTTTAGACTGTACAAGAACAACAAGAGCTGGAGGTTTTGTGCTCTTTATTTTCAGTACTCTAGAGAAATGCTCAGTGAAGTCGCAGCCACTTTATTATCTCTAGCAGATGGAGGCAACTTGATTACCCTTCAGTGCAGGTCTTAGACTTGGAGCTGAGCATTTCCTGCTTGCCAGGTCCAGTGACTTTTCACTGATCCCCCTGTGAATCTGGCGGGGGGGAGGCATGTGTGCATGCGTGCGAGTGGGCACGCGCTTCGTTCTTCCTGTTTGTTTCGAGTGGGAGCCTCTGTTGCCTGGCTCAGGATTGTGAATTCTGTTGCCTGCTGTGTCTTAAGTGTTGTGGTTTCAGTATAGACTTAGCTCTCAAATATATGTAGGCTACATACAGTTCTGAGCTATCTAGTAATGTCAGAGTTATGTTAAATTTTATAAACCATTAAGATTCAGACTCTTCTCTGTGTTTACAGTGAAAAATAAGATAAAGTATCGAGCCAGTGCCTGCATTAAAATACAAAAGACTATTCGAATGTGGCTTTGCAAGAGAAAGCACAAACCACGGTAAGAGGATATTCCTTAACTGAAGAAAATGGATTTTTAATAAAATTTTCATGTGACTGTAAAGAGGAGATTTACTATGCTTAACTAAATATATCGGAAGTCACAGAATGGTGCTAAGTATGACTTCAAGAGACTTTGAGAGGTGCTGTGCTCCTTCTCCCTTTCCCATGGATGAATAGACTAAATCTGAACCTTTCCTGAGGAATGTTTGTTTAGCTCTTCGTTCATAAAATCCTTCGGTGATAGCCTAGTTATTAGAAATCCTTAGTGAAATCTCTCTAAATGAAATTTAAGCTCATTAATTTTTGTCCTTTACCCATTCCCACCTTCCTTTCTAGGCCCACTTTCTTTTTTACCTTAAAAATAATTGGTGTTCTGTCTGTCTTATCTCCTCTTGAAATTAATTCCATTAGCTTTAATCTGACTGTGTGGAATAGATGGGAAAAACACTTTGGTTATTAAGCTGTACTGGTATGTTTTTGTTCTTTGATGGAGCTCTAACTCTGTTCTTTAATAGTGGGGTTCTGTCAGATGTTTTCTTTGACATCCTTTGATAGTTATGTTTCATTCTGTACCTTGGCCTTTCTGACCATGTCCCTATATTTTTAAGCTGTTCTGTACTCATCTTTAATGATTTTATTTTATTTTCTACTTTTTGTATGTTCCTTTTTTCTGAATCCCAATTCAGTGATTTCTTTCTAGGAAAACTGTCTCTGCAGCAGAGTTGTGATTTGTGTGTGTGGCCTTCAGTATCAATTCTTTAACAAGTTTTCCCTGGACTCTGCTCCAGATGTGTTGTTTGTTTGGTTGGTTTTTTCCCTGTGGGGCATCTAATGACAGGGTTCCCCCACTATGTAGTTAAATTTTATCTGATTCAGTCCCATTATTACTCTTTGATTAAGTGGCACAACTCAACCTTGTATCCACTCCAGTCAAAATCCCCTAACGGATACTAATGATTTGCTATTGAAAGAAACCAACTCTAGCCAATCCCACATTAATTCTCAAAATAAAAATGCACTTTTCTATTTTGAGTTGCCATCTGCTAATCAATTTTAATTATTGTTTGCAAAAGGCTCCATTGCTTAGTTACTTCTTGTGAAGTTTGAATTTCAAAAAATTGAGTTTTATCAGCGTGCATAACTTATTGCCCTTATCCATCTCTTTAATGTGAAGGATTAGTCGCAGCTTTAAAAATATCATCTTGTAAAAATGTCTCAAGATACAAACTGTCTTCCCTCTACAGCATTGATGGCCTGATAAAAGTTCGTACTTTGAAGAAGAGACTTGATAAATTTAATGAAGTAGTAAGTGCCCTGAAGGAGGGGAAGGCAGAGACAAGCAAGCAGGTCAAGGAGCTGGAGTATTCTATTGATGCTTCAATGACCAAAATTAAGGTATGAAAATAATCAGAGAAATACTTTATCACTGGAATCTTTTTAAAACTTAATCTAAAGTAGAAGGGCAATGTGTTTTTCTTAACTGAAGACATTTTAATATAGAGACCTTAATTTTCAGAGGTACTGGATAAACCCTGTTTAAAATTGTTTCTGAGTGTAACTGATGCGAATCCTGAAACTGAGTGCATATATCTAGACTTTGGTATTACTAGCTGTGTTTCAAAACTAGCACTGCAGAATCAAAAGCAAAAATACACATTGATATTGTGAGGCAAGTGTTAATAATTTGCTTGTTGCTTTTATTATCAGAATGATGCATATTAGCAGTATTTTAAATTAATCAGGGCTGAAACGTACAAGCGTTTATCACAGAGCAAAGAGTTTTATATTCCAGCTATGAGTTTTTTCAGACTTGGTAGTAAAGAAAATTCAGCTTGATGATTATGCTTCAGGGTCTCTAGTTCTCAGTTTCTTACCATAAAAGCACATGGACAAAATTAAAGCATACTGGGATTTATTGATGTTAGAAAAAATTTGATGTGTTGAAATTTTGTTTCTTGCAATATTATAGCTTTCTTATTGGGCTGTTGTAACATTTTTTCTATTTAAAATCGCAGTTGAAAAGATAGAGTTAACCTGTCAATTTATAGTTCTCTTTTCTGATAATAAAAAGATAATTTGATTATCATGATACACCCTCAGAAACGGTCATCAAATACCATAGTTTGCACTAGTATACATCCATGTGAATTGTCAAATGAAATTAAATTGTAGCTGTCAGTGAAGTTGGAAACCATGTAGCAAAGACTATTGTTTTAAGTATTTTCAACTTGTTATCTGCTACTAATACCTCCTCAAAAAAGTTAGTCATACCACAGTCCAGTATTTTTTCTGAGTGACATTGTAAGAAGAACCATTCTGTTCTATAACATAAAAGGCAGAGCTGTAAGTAATCACTATAGCAGCCAAGAACGTGACACACAATGTACGTAGGAGGCTCTTAGTTTTCATCTTAGCACGTTAAGAATTCATTTCTGTTGCTTAAAACTGCACGGTTTGAAAAATGAAGACATATTTTAAAGAGAAGTCGTGTTTAATTTCAGTGGTAAAGTGGAGGTTACTTTATATGGTTTTAAATGAGAGAAGAGACTAATGGATCCCCAGGATTTTAGGAAGGATGCACTCAAGCTCCCCCACTCTAAAGTGCATATAAAATTTAATTATACGGCTCAGTGCTCTCATTTAACTTTCAATATGCATTTTGTAGAAGTGGAGTACAAATGTAAAAGAACATAATCCCCTCCTGTTATTTTATTTTGCAGACCACTATAATGACGAGGGAACAGATACAGAAAGAATATGATGCTCTAGTTAGAAGCTCAGAGCAGCTTCTAAGTGCACTGCAAAAGAAGAAACAGCAAGAAGAGGAAGCAGAGAGACTACGACGAATCCAGGAGGAAATGGAAAAAGAAAGAAAGAGACGTGACGAGGAAGAACGACGACGAAAGAAGGAAGAAGAAGAAAGACGTTTGTGAGTCTTGAATAAGTTTGTGGTTATAGAATGAGAGGAAACAGGAAAGGCTCTTTAATGAGGGAATTCTTAATACTTCTTTGCTTAAAGAGAGTCACTTGGATTGTACTCCCAGTGTACTATGCAATGTTAAAACATTGCCTTTCCCAGTGGTTTATAAGGTAAGTGTAGTCAGAATAGAGTCTGAAAGGGAATTATATAATGCAGAGGGAAATACAGGTAGGCTTAGAAAGTTTCTTGACTTTACATGTAGTGTCCTGTCATCGGGACTTTAGTGACTTCTGGATTACCATTCAGTTTTGTGGAAGATGCTTTCCTACCTCTTGTTCACTTGCATTTTAAATAATATGGTTTCATTTCTACCTTCTCTTTTATAATAGGAAATGTGAGATTGAGGCAAAGAGAAAACAGGAAGAGGAAGAGAGGAAAAAGAGGGAAGAGGAAGAAAAGCGTATTCAGGTTAATATTCTATCTGTGTGGGGGTTTGGTTGCTGTTTTTTAAAATAAATATTATTATTTTAAATCTTTTTCACAGCTTAGGTTCTCCACTGAGTCTGACAGCCTCATTTTATAAACGCATGTCTTGGAGCGATTCAGCAGGGCTGGTTAGCTCAGTGGTTTGAGCGCGGTCCTGACAACAGTGACAACACCGAGGTCGCGGCTTCGATTCCTGCTTGGTCCCCATGTGTTCCCTGGTGTAGTCTAGTGGTGGTGTCCCGGCCCATGGCTGGGCGGTTGGACTAGATGGTCTCTAAGGTCCCTTCCAGCCTAGGCCGTTCTATGATTCTAAATGTAAGGTGAAAATCATGATTAGGACATCCCAAGACAGATTATCCATTTCTAGTTCACATGCAGGTTCAGATCTTCCGAGTACAGGTGCATTTGGTTTTGGAGGGTTTTAAAAGTTATTTTAAAAACACACAACACTGGAGAATCCTAGTTTAGGCTTTGAAGTTTTTGCAGATGTTTAATGTCAGGCAAGTCTGGCACTATTGTACTAGAAATCACATCTGGATTCGGGCTGTGTCATGTACCAGCTTAACTTGTAAACACTTTCGGAATATTGGTAATGATGAGAGGACACAGGACTGTCTCTGATAGCCTCTTTGGCTACATTCATGTAGAATAGATGCACGTGGTTCAAACCCTGCTCCTCCACCCTGCCCCTTTGATTCCTGACACTTTCCGGATCCCATTATGAGCTTTCTCTCTGGGGTTGGTTTGACTCCTGTACTCTTGTTTTCTTCTTGTCTTGGGAGATTGCCTGGGTGACCTGGGAGAGCATTTTCAGAAGAAGCTTCTATGTAGGGGTGACTGTCACAAGCGCAGAGTCATCGTCATTGATGTTTACTGACTCTCTTAAACCTCGTCCATGATTAATCAGAAGCAGATTTTTTTCTCTTGTGTAGTGTTATCCTTGGTGTTGGCCTAGCCCTGCTTATGCACCTTGCCTCTGCGTTCTTTTTTCTATCACCTCACTCTTTTTCTTGCTAAACAAGTCACTGAAACTAACAGATAAATTATAGCCTAACTTTGATGAAAAACGAATCTTTCCTGTGTTCTTGGGTCTGTCGGTTGTATGCAAATAAGCGCTACCAGCTTTACAGAAGTTAAACATAAAAAGAGAAAACTGCTGCTACGTTAGTCTCTAAATTGTTGCAGGGAGAGCACTTTCTTCCCAGAAAGTTTAAAAACATAATCTGCCAGCACTATGAGCATTTCTAGGGATTGTCTTTTTGTTTCTTTGGTTCGGAGATGTGGATATATCCAGTGCAGAATATATTTTACACTTTTATAAAAACGCAGCATTTGGATACAAACCAGATACGTAATTCAGTAGGGTATTTGTTTCCTCTATGTACAGTTAATTAAACACTCTCTCCTACTGGTGGTTGTTGCTATCAGCTAACCTAAAATGCGATTCATAGGGTACAGACACTGGTGTTACTGCATTGCTTTAGTGGTGCAAGTGGAAAGTGACTTTGTATCCTTTGTTAACTTCTGGACTCCAGGAAAGGCACAGATAAGACCTGGTGTGTATGACTTTCAGAAGTATAAATGGATTGGTTGTGTTCTACTTTTTATGCATGTGTGCAAGACCCTTTGATAAATAGTGATGGTAAACTGGAATTACAGTTTTACTCTGCAGAGGCAGCGTATCTGGATTGCTTCTGTGTTGCAGTAAGTGAGAATTTTCCTGCTTGCTTAAATTCAAAGGTAGATCAGGTCCACAGAGGATTCCAGTGTTTGTCTTGATCCCTTTTTGAAAAGAACCATGGAAGACCTATATGCAGAGCAATGCCTGTTGCAAAGTCCTGTAGTGCCAGGTGCAGAGTATCAAGGTAATATTGTGTTAAGGCTAGGGAGGAGTAACCATATTGCTCTGTATCATTTGAGTTTTAATGATTGTAAAAACTTCCGAATTTCATAATAGCTAGCAAAAAGTTACCTTTTCATTAAATAAGGAATGATTGACGCTTTAATTTGAAAAGACAATACAAGTAGTGGACAATAATGATTTGGTAAACTATGAAAACCAAGACAAGATCTGTAGCTGTTTTGTTTCTCTTCCGTCAAACTAAATACTAATGCAGTTACTTTTTTGATTCTGTAAATGTTTTGTGTTTTGAAAGCTATAAATACACTACTTGGCATGTTTTTCTACTAATTTGCTTGGTCTTGATTGGATAAGGCTAAAGGTGTGTTTTATAAAACAGGCTGAAATTGAGGCTCAGCTAGCTAGAGAACGAGAAGAGGAGACCCAGCACCAGGCAGTGCTTGAACAGGAACGCCGTGACCATGAACTTGCCATGAGAATTGCCCAGAGTGAGGCAGAACTCATCAGTGATGAGGCTCAGCTTGATTTAGGATTGCGGAGGTATGACGTTAAGTACTTTCTCTCTTTTTATATCTTCTTCCTCTCCTGATCCCTTTGAGAAGACTACATTCTTTCTGGGTTTCTGTATTTTTTATTAATTAAATGGACCCCTTAAGTCAGTGTATTGGGATATTTTTCAAATTGTGAATTTTTTTTAGAAATAAATTGCTTTTGTGTAAAAACTTCATTTTGCCCATTGCTACATTGGTAATTTAGTAGGTGCTTGTGAATACAACTGCAGTTCTCTTTCTCTTTTGGGGTTCTGGCAAAGATGGCAACGAATTTACATTATGATTTTTATGACTCGTTTAAAGTAGTGGATGGGATTTCTTCAGTAGTGAGTAGTAATAAAATATGCTCTTTCTGGTACTTAATGGTGCCAGTAGTATAGTGTGGACTTGTGTGGGGGTTCTTAACAAGAAGCCCTCTCTGAATGTAGAAATAGTAGTTATATCTGTGTCCTGACTGGTAAGTTTTTTAAAGTGGATGAATATATTTAACATAGATGGGTTTGAAAATTAGATGTTGTGTTAGATGTTTTGTTTTGTGAGATTAATTTTTTTTTGTTATGTGTCACAAGAGGTGCTTGGCTTCTAGCGTACGCATCCACAGTGACTGCAGAGCGAGAGCTTCTCATGTGTAAAGGGTGATGCCTTAGAAGCAACTTCAAAGTTCCAGTAAAATATTACTTACTGGTAAAACTGCATGAAGGACCTGTGGACATGATAACACCACTGGTGACTTCATTAGTGCTAATCTGCTCAGTTTGTTGTTGTTGAAATAAGGAGGATAAGAAAATCCTAAGTGTTTTCATGGAATTTCGAACTCCAGACGTGTTATCTTTGCTAATCAAATTTTATCTAGAGGTATACTCTTTTTTTTTTTTTTTTTCAGTAGCTGTGTGCTGATGTGAGATTGCTAGGTAATTTTTTTTGTCATGTACAATACTGATTTTTAGACATTTCCAGTAAAGTTACTGTGGTTTTGCCCTCTTTGATGTAATAGCTGTCATATTGTCTTGACTAAGACTTTACCATGCTCAGTTGGGTGTCCAAATGCTTCACAGACAGCATTCTGGAGATTTTCTTGCCCTGTTTGGATTTCAGTGTAATACTTTGAAGATAAACCCAAAGTCACTTTAGTATTGCAACCTGGCAAACTTCTCCTAAATATAAAAGAAGGGAGGAGATAAACAAGAGGGGCCCAGAAAATTCAGTAACTTTTCTGTCAGTGAAGCTCTAATCTCCACAGCGTTTCCTACTGGTTGTGGGTGACCGTCGTATTTGTCTTCCTTGCGTCGTCCTGGGATGGATGATGAAGTAACTGTCCTGATAGTTACAGCTGTCAGTTTCTCTCAGCTGTGTAGTGAGCAGTAGGAGCAGGAAAGCTCTTTCCTTAGTGATTGGAAAGTGCTGAATGGTCTGAATAAGTTAATGTAGCCAAGTAAAGCCATTCTTGAGCAAGATACAATGTAAACCTAGAAAAAAAGTGATAGATATTTATGCTTAAGTGAGATTTCTTTTTAGCTCTTTAGCAATATTTTTTTTTACTTTTGTTCCTGTGGTCTACTTCAAAGAGTTTTAAGCATGTCCAAAAGCTAAACAAAATGCTTTTAATTTCACCCTTGATTTGATTTTGGTTTACTTTGTTTAAAAAACCAGCTAAAACATTTCCCAGACCCTAAGATCATTAACTGAAATCCAATGGGAGATTTCCATGTAACTGTAGGAATCCGCTTAAAGGTAGAAAACTGAGAGTTCTTCCCTGAAATGAAAACTATTTATTGGTTTGAACAAAACATGTCGTTTAGTAATTTAAACATAAATGATCAGGGGGCTGGTTAGCTCAGTGGCTGAGCGCGGTGCTGACAACAGTGACAACACCGAGGCTGCGGGTTCGATTCCTGCTCGGTCCCCATGTGTTGCCTGCTCTAGTCGAGAGGTGGCGTCCCTGCCCATGACAGGGAGGTTGGACTAGATGATCTCTAAGGTCCCTTCCAGCCCAGGCCATTCTATGATTCTATGATTAGGACTTATTTTAACTGGTAGCAATGAAAATTTTACTAGAGTCTAAGTAAGTTGTATTTGGCCATCTTCTGGATTTGTGACTTGCATATTACCATATGATACACTGAAATTACTGTGACTTGTATATATATATATATATATATCTATATCTATCTTCCTGCTCTGGCAGGGGGATTGGACTAGATGATCTTTTGAGGTCCCTTCCAATCCCTAGCATACTGTGATACTGTGATATATATTTCACTTTTTACTCTCATAAGATAAAGCATGCAACCTCATCTAGTGGGAGGGGTCCTTGCCCGCAACAAGGGAGTTGGAACTAGGCAATCTTTAAGGTCTCTTCCAACCCAAACCAGTCTACGGTTCTATGACTCTGTGTATCACTCCATAAAATGAATTCATGCAGTATGACTGCTTCTACAGTATTTTCACACAATTTTGTAAAATAATCATTTCATGCTTACATATTGGCATGAGTAAAAGAGTATTTTCCATTGTGCTGTAATACTTGTGGAGTGAAAACAGCAAGAATAAGGTGAATTTTGTGTGCCACTTTGAAGAAACTCTTGTATTTTGCTGATTTTTAAATGAGCTTGTGTGTTGTCATCTTTGAAAAGGAGTAGCCTCTGCTTTATTTTTTACTCCTCACTACCTTGTTGCAGTCACCATTAGTTTTCATAGATATGCAAATATTTATAAGTATTACTACTTTCTTTGAAAAAATATTCTCATTGGCTTCTGTCAAAGAAGAAAAGTTGTTTGTTCTGGCAGTAGATGCAGCACGTTTGATATATCTATCTTTAGGTAATAGATATCTGTAGTTTTATGTGTAATAGGTACTTGTTTTCAAACTGTAAATATTTTTGTGTGGCTTATTGAAACATGTAGTACAGCATGTAGCACGAAAATAAGCTACCCTCAGTGAAGATGTTGTGAGGGTATCTGTTCTGTGTGTTGCGGCGGAACGACCCAAGTAAGTTTTAATTTGTAGCATATTCGGTGCTACACGTGGATACCTGTGAGCCTTTAGCTTGGCAGGTATATTCAGTGTCTTTTCAGAGCTTGCCTGAAGTCGCTCTCTGTTCTGCAGCTACATGAAAATTGCCGTTCTTTCTTGTGATACACTTCTGTGGGCATAAAATATAGCAGTAGCGTGTCTCAAAATCTTGGATTTTGAAAGATGAGGGGGAGGAGGTGGGGAAGAAAGCATAAGGGAAATTTTCACTTGTGCGTTTTTTCCAGATAATCTGAATTTAACTTTTAAAAAAAAATAATTTAAAACTCATGATTGAGTGAGAAAGGTGAAGGAAAAAATCGTAAGATAATAAATAAGATGTGAGAGAGCGAGAAATACCCACCTTTTCCCACTTCAGATAGTTAAAAAGGTAACTGGGAAGTAGTCTGTCTAACATAAATATCTTCTGTTTGCAGAGCCAATGGAACAAAGCTGCAAATGACTGCGTATGGCATTTTTTCCCTTTGAATGCTGTAATAGGAAGAACCCCAACACTAATTAATTTAAAGGAAATTGACACTGTCCTCTTATTTACTAATATCCATGATAATTCTTATTACTGTGCATCTGTAAATTTCTAATACTTCATACCCACTACTTTGCTCATCTAATAAACAAGTTAATAATTTAATATACCTAATAATATCTATTCAAAAATGAACATATAATTAATGTAAACTTTTTCACGTTATCATCCCCTTTTCACTGCCCTATGTGATGTATTGCTAATTACAGAATCAGGACTGTATATATATATATAAGAATGGTAATTATTGAAAATAAGTAGCCTTTCGTTTTTATGCACATTAATTAGCTTCAGTTTGGCTGGCAAGAGACTTCTGCAGTTATAAAGGCTGGTTTTGTACTACTGTTTGGTTTATGCTTATTTATCAATTTTCTTATAGGGAACAAATGGCCACAGAAATGTCAGAAATATTGTCTAGGTAGGTGAGAAGATGCTACCAAATGAATCAATTATTTTATCAAAAAGAATCACACAGGAAATGGGTTGAATTATTATGGAATATAAAATAATGGAATCTGGGGTTTTTTAAGTGCTAAGCAGCTAAGTAAATAATTTCTTTCAGATAAATTACCTTTATCAAAACCTTTTTTCTACTGTTTTAACTGCTTATATAAAAAAAGAATAAAAATAGTTCTCTTAGCCTAGTATTTTGTGTAATTTTGGTAATGTTCCTCCAGCTCACTTCTCTTTTCACATTTCTTATAATCATAGCAGGAGACTAGGTTCTACATCTTCAACGCAGAGTTAATGAAGTTATTTAATGTTTTTGTAGCTGCTAGTGCTTTTAATAAGAAAATATTCTGATAGAAATAGATAATATATTTAAATAAAAAGCCATTTTTCAAGTAAAAGCAGTTTTGAAAATTACTTCGTTAAAAGCCTATTAAAAGCCCTCTTAAGACATGTAGACAAAATCGCCTGCTGAGATTTCTTGAATGCCTGAAGATGATCAGTCTTGCATGATTGATGGGTTTTATAGGTGTAGCATTGATTATTGGGAATGCAACTTAACTGCATTTGTTTCTTGCAGTGGTATTTTAAGAATAGGAATAAACAACGTTGGGTGTAATTAAATTAGCGTGTGAATCAAGGTGGCTGGATTGCCTTACATGTGCTGGCATACTTCCAGTGACAATGGCCGATTCTTAACGTGCAGGAAAAATCACAAAACTCTAGGGCAGAACCAGAGGCACTCTGCATTTTGGTTACATTCAAAATGCAATACATGTTACTGCATGCTTGGTGAACTAAATTTTTTCACTTTTTGACTTGAGACTGATTTTTTTTTTTAATTAAGTCTGAAAATGGTGTTTATGATACATAACTTTGTCGATTGAGCGGTGAAGACTAGTTGTCAAGTATGATGCTCTTCTTACTGCCAGGCTGCTCTGTTTAAAGTCGTGTAGAAAACAAAAGAGCGATCTGCAGAGTTCAGAGTAGTACTGTAATGGAAAGACTAAGCCATTCAATTGGATTAACATTCTTAAAGATTACTAGTTTAACCAGAGATCTTACAGCCTAGTTCTGCTGCTCTAAATTGTGTAGCAAACTCTTAGAGTGGTGGGTAGTGTTGCTAAATAAGGAAAATCCTTAGGATTTGGCAAATTAGGTTCAAGAAGGTTAGACATCAGGCAGCGGAAATTGCATTTAGCAGCAATCCTTTGATGTCCTACAGGTATGCCAGTGATGACAAAATATTACAATATATATATTGAAAGAGACTGTCAAATTTTTTTTTCTTTGGTTTTACTCTCATGAGCAGTTCCTGTTCCTCATCTATGTAATGATTAAAGGAGAAAGAGCTATATTTTTATGTCAGACTTCTCACATACCATGCCTGGAAGCTGTGTATTGACTCAGATTAGCACAATGAGTAGGCATAATTAAGCTGATGCTACAATAAACAGTAAGATTCTGTAGTTTTAATTACATTTGAAGAGATGATTCAGTTGCTAATAAAAAGAACATTTGGTTAAACAGATTGTTTTATTCTATAAAACTTAAATTGCGTTTGTTATCTCTGCTTTCAAAACTGCTGTATTGGCATACTGAATTTTTTCACAGCAAATGTATTTATAAGCTATTAACTAAAATGGGAGAATAAACAACATAAAACTTCATAGTACCATATGAGACGTTTATGGAAAAAAGAAACATGAAAATAATATTCACTGGATTATAAATTCTATAATAATGTAACAGTCCCACAAAGATATTGCTGCACAAACAGACTAGAAATGAGAAGGTCTGTTTTCCTCTGGTTTTCTCTCTTGTGAATTTTTAATGTGACGTATTGAGTATTTTGCTACCCACTTAAAGACCTAGTTTCTTCTGAACAAGTCCTCTCAGATCCTGAAAGATAATGCAGTTTGTCTCATGTTCTAGTCATGGACATTAGCAGAGTTTGGTAAAATCACGTGTGTACTTGTATTCCTCAGCGTTCAGATAGTATTCTGATCATCACAGAGTGTTTATTTTGTATCCAAATAATTCATGGGAAATTTGCTTTTCCTAAGGGAGAGTTCTTCCACTTCTTATGCATCCTATATTTAAGAGGAAAAATTAAACAGGGGGGTTTTTTTCAGGCTTTTCCTTACATGTTTACATGTAATTCTTGTTTGTTTGTTGCATGGATAACCTTATACATACTGTTGAAGATTACAGAGATGTTAGTAATAGTTTCTCATTTGCATTTGCTGTTGATTTTGTTACATTGTACCTATGTGACGAATAGCTTTTGCCTTTGAAAACCACTGTTTCTCGAGGAATCTTCTTATACTGGTCAGCCTTTATTCTGACAGGGGTCCTTTCTTCCTTGGTGTTTCTTGATGATTCCGCGCCCCCCCGAATAAATATTGCTCTTCGTGGACAGCTACTATACAATTAATACAGAATTAATTTGATTTCTTCTAAAATTAGACTTTTGACAAAGGTGTGGAAAAAGGATTTTGTCTTAATCCAGTTTTAAACAGCAGATCCAGATTTAAACAGCAGAAAAAAAGGCAAATGCGTTTTTTTTTTCCCCCTTCTCTTGTCTACTTAAGAAATACTTTTCCTTGTCTGTTTTTCAAATGAAACTAAAAATGTATGTGGTGACCGTTTGTTGTCTGTGTTCTGCATCTTGACTAGTGCTAAGAAAAATGTACATCAGTGTGGGGTGACGTACATGTAAGCACTATTAATGACAATTCCTTTTAATCTCTGGGCAACCGATCAGATAATTATATCATTTTAGACATAAAAATTGTTTTCACTTTCATTTAATCAAACATTTTGAAAATAATACAGTATTTTGCCTGTGAATCAGATGCTTTGCTGCTGATTTTTGTCATAATAAGTGCAGTACAGTGTTGATCATGGGGTCTGTTCCTCCTGATGTAAGAATTCCTGTTTCACACTTGAAAAAAATATTTTTTTTCTTTTAAAAAAATAATTTTAGGGGTCCTTCAGTTCAAGCTACAAAAGCTGCTGCTGGTACTAAGAAGCATGATCTCAGTAAGTGGAAATATGCAGAGCTTCGTGATACAATTAACACATCCTGTGGTAAGTTTTCCTTGTTTTTTGATTTGAGACAGAAGTGAAGTGAGTTTGAATACTCTTTAGTGACTAATGAAAAAGCCTTGCAATCATTCAGTCTCTTGTTATCTTGAAATTCAACAAAATTAAAATACATTTATGAAAGGTTAAGAAGAACCTAGATCTGAGCAGTCAAATTGCCGGTTTTCTTTTGTCAGATGCAGTAATAAAGTTCAGTGGTGAAAGTTTTTCTGTTTCTGTACTGCTTGGCTTGTGATAAAGACAACAGGCAAATCTAGAGGACTGCAAGTTTTATGTGTAGCATTTCACTGTTCCATACCTCACAGTGGTACACTTCGAGGACTGCCATTTCTCTAAAGGAGAAAAGGTCATATAGCACTCCAAGGGAATTTCTGGGCCATAAAAACAGGCCCTGTTGCTGCAGAGAATGAGGCTATATTATTATTATATTGTATTGTATTATGTTATAATATGATCTAAAACTATTTGCCTATCAATATTGAAAAGTATTTAGCAAACCGTGTCTCTCACTCATCCCTCCCTTCTCATGTATGACACAGATATTGAGCTATTGGCAGCATGCAGAGAAGAGTTTCACAGAAGGCTAAAGGTGTATCATGCGTGGAAATCCAAGAATAAGAAACGCAATGCAGAAACAGAACAGCGTGCCCCCAAGTCCGTCACAGACTATGGTGAGGAGTTTTAAATTTGTGTTTATAATTATTTGGATGGCAATATTCAAAAGAAAAGCTTTCTAGAATGAGTTTTGGCTTTGGTAGGTTGAAGGAAATTCTTGGAATTTTTGAAGAGTATTTTTATATTGTTTTGAGATGAATATTTTGAAAAGATTGGAACTGGTAAATATTTTGTGGAAAGTACGGTACATTCAGGAGACCCATGTAGTGAATAGCTCTCCCTAAAATGTTTTCTTATACCAGCTCACATCTGTTAAACACAATTCTTGATTTGCTGTTGCTATTGCAGTTGCTCTGGCATTTGTCCTGAATGTTCATTGCTCTGCTACTTAAGACTAAGGAAGATAATTTTGCATTTATGAAACAGTGGTTTGCATGTTGAGACTTTTGTTTTTAAGGTTGTTCATACTAGTTCTGACCTCTGTAATTAGAAATGTTTCTTTCTGAGAGTAGTTAGTGATAGTTCAGATCAGGGAATTATACCTAAAAATAGTTAGAATCATAGAGTTGTTCAGATTGGAAAAGACCTTTAAGATCATTGAGACCAGCTGTTAGTGTAACACTGAGAAGTCCACCAGTAAACTGTGTCACTAAGCACCACATCTCCATGTCTTCTGAACACCTCCAGAGATGGGCACTCCAACACCTCCCTGGGCAGCCTGTTCCAATGCTTGACAACCCTTCGGGTGAAGAAATTCTTCCTAATGTTCGGTCTAAACCTCCCCTGGTGGGGGAGGCCCCTTGTCCTCTTGTCCTATCACTTGTTATGTGGGAGAAGAGACCAACCCCCACCTCACTTCAGCCTCCTTTTCAGGTAGCTGTAGAGGGCACTAAGGTCTCCACTCAACCTCCTTCCCTCCAGGCTAAACAATCCCCATTCCCTCAGCTGCTTCTCATAAGACTTATGCTCTGCACCCTTCACCAGCTTTGTTGCCCTTCTTTGGACACGCTCCAGCACCTCAATGTGTTTCTTGAATTGAGGGGCCCAAAACTGAACACAGGATTCAAGGTGCGGCCTCACCAGTGCCGAGTACAGGGACATGATCACTTCCCTGCTCCTGCTGGCCACACTATTCCTATTACAGGCCAGGATGCTGTGGCCTTCTTGGCCACCTGGGCACGCTGCTGGCTCATGTTCAGACAACTGTTGACCAACCTCCCCAGGTCCTTTTCCATCAGGCAGCTCTCCAGCCTGTAGTGCCTGTGACCTAAGTGCTGACCTCAGTCCATTGATCCAGCCTGTCCAGATCCCTCTGCAGAGCCTTCCTGCCCTCCAGCAGGTCAGCAGGCCCACTCAGATTGGTGTCATCTGCAGACTTACTGAGGGTGCACTCAATCCCCTCGTCCAGATCATTGATAAAGCTGCTAAGCAGAACTGGCCCCAGTACTAAGCCCTGGGGAACACTTGTGACTGTTGTCAGATAGTCTGTCAGGGAATTGCATGTGGGTTTTTTGGTTGTAGCAGAACTGGAAGGAATCAGGCCCTGTCTTGTAATTCACTATTACATTTGGAGTCCGTACAGAACAAAAAAGTGTTGGTGATAAGTTGTTGTTTTTTTTTCTCATGCTTTTATTGTGTGAGATATATATCTATGATACTAATAATTTCTTCATTTACATTACTGGAAGCCTTATATTCAGCTTACATTCTCTTTTTCTAAACTTCTATGAGTGTTGATATTGCAGTTTTTGATTATGTGATGACAATTTTTTGCAGTCCTTTCTTATTAGACTGTTGTTCTGCTGATTTCACAGATGGATGTTTATTGTCAAAACAATGTACTAACAAGCATAAGTGACTGCCTTTTAAATTCAACAAGATGTAGGATTTAACATGTTTAATACTGCCAGACCTGAAAATTAGATGCCCTTTTTCTGGAGTGATATTTGCAGTGGATTGTTACTCTTTTCCTGCCACCTCACCTCAGGAGTCCAATGATTGTCATAAAAGGAATCTAAGAAATGAACAGAATCACAGCAAATGGATTTAATAATTTAGTCAGATCTCCCTTGCTGTCTTCTGGTTCCACGATTCTTGTCTCCCTGGCCACACAATTAGTAGGAGAAGCAAAGGAAAGGGAAGATGGGGAGAAGATGCTCCCTCAGAGTCCCATTAGTCCATGATTAGAACATTGTCCTGGGATGTGGGGAGGACAGATCCCAGAGGATACCGATGTCTTACTTATTCTCACTGTTAGTCCTCATATTTGAGCTTCTCAGGGAGCTTTGTTGCAGATAAATGGCAAGTGAAATCTGGACCCCTGGAAAAGATGTTTTCAAAGAATGGGTCCTTGTGGCTATGCCTAGTAATTTGAAGTGCTTAAAAGAGCTTATTACTGAAACAGTGGGAAAAGGCATTTGAAGCACTTCTACCAAGTGGTAAGTTGTTTTGAAATGGAGCTCACAGGTTCTGGCTGAGCTAAATGGATAACATAAATATTCATGCACAACAGTATTGATGATGAGGAATAAGAGAGAGCAGAAAATCTTTGGATTTGTCCAAATAAGGCTTGGAATATTCATGATCTCGTGACGTTTAGTTAGACGTGTACAGCATTCTTTTCAGTGTCTTCCGTTGCATTTTTATACTTTCTTGAACTGTGGTTTCATATTTCTGAAGAAACGTTAAGAGAGTTGCAGTTCAGAACAAAGTTACTGATGAGTGACCTTTAGAGATTCTCATTAATATCAGAAGTAATTCTTCCTGTTGCAAATAAGTATACTACATGGATGTTTCACCTCCATCTATGATAATGATCTGAGGTAGAAGGTAGTAAGAAAGAACTCTGTTTTCTTAGACATTCAGGCTAAAAGTCATTCAGGTGCCAGTGAATTTGCACTTCAAATGATGTACTTCCTTCTTACCGTCTTTTCACTGATGTCGTATAATCTTACAGGCATCCTTTAATTAAATTCATACGTTCAGTATAGAAGCTAAACGTTAGTTTGTGTATTATTATTGAAGTAGATCTGGTCCTAATAAAGGTCTGGAAATTATTTCCTAGCAGAAAATGTCAAAATTTAAAAATACGGTCATTAGCTAGCAGATGTGTTACACTACTCTGTGCTTAGTGTGCATAGAACTGAAGTTTCATATCAGGCATTGCAAATCATTGAAGTAATCAAATTCAAAATTATATACAAATGAAAATAGAAACAACAGGAAATGTATTAAAATTGAAGAAAAAATGAGACATTTTATATATGTCGGTGAACAGAAAGTTAACTGAAATACTTAGCTCAACATCTGTGGGTTTTTTGTAACTAGAATTTCCGTTAGTCATCAGCACTGGTGAAAAAAAATGTTGGGGTAATGAAACTGTAACTTATAAGGCATCAGCACTTCTAAGTTTCATTCAACATGTAATATCTGTTCACAGATTTTGCACCATTTTTGAACAACTCACGTAAGTGGGGAGATGGTTATTCAAGCTAACCTTGAAGAATAGGAACACTTGAGCTCTATAACTAACATTAATTATCCAGTGTTTTGCTACATATGTACATAGAATATAATTGTTCAAAAAATTCTGTTTTACAATTTGGCAATATTATTCAACTGATGGTAATTAATGTTACTCTAGTAATTGTTCAAACATACTTCAGTGTTTGTGTTCAGGAGATCATACCCATTTGAACAGTCATGGGAAGGGAGAATGAAATAACCTTTTCATGTAGGTTATTTAAAGATGCAATCTTTCTTTTTTTTTTCTCCTTTTTTCCTCCCCCCACCTCCCTCCCCAAGAAATGTTATGCTTGTTTTCTTTAATTTTTTTACTGTTTGCACATGGCTTCTTGTAGCAAAACTCTGGAATCAACTTACTCTAACAGCTGATTTCCTAGCACACAACCTAACACTCAGGTGATGGTTTCTTTTGACTAAAGAACTGCAGTTCCAAAGCACTGAAAAGTAGAGGCTGTACTGGCTGCTCAGCATTCCTGTCCTCTAGGTTTCCTCTTGGGTGTAGATACACGTAGGGGTAGAAATAAGCCTTAGCAGTTACCGTTGAAGTGCAAAAAGTGTTTGACAATACTCGAGCACTAATCTGCTGTGATAGATCTTCAAACAATTTGCAGAAAGTAGAACTAATTTCTTATAAACTGTAAATTATGTCTCCCCGTAAAATACATGCTTTATCAGAGTTACTTTATAGAAGTAGCATTCACCTATTAAAATCTGTTTTGTTTTTCTTCTCTCTGTTTGTGTAGACATGGAAAAATTATTTGAGGGCATGATTTGTATAATACACATATTTTTAAAGGTTCTACTCTTCACATTTACAAAAACTATTTTTGCTGGAATCTAAACGGAAGAAATTTCACGGTGCAATTGCTAGTCTATTAGTCTTGTTCATAACTATAAAAATGCATTATTGAAAATGATTTTCATATTTCACTTTATTAAATTTTAGCTCAAAAATTAGCTGTGCTGCTAAGAGACAATTGACAAAAAGGAATTAACTTTTCATTATTCCCTTTGTGTTGAAACACTCAGCGGTTAATACTGATTTTTCTTTTGTAGAGGTGACATAGATTCACATTCAGAATTTCTTAAACAAAATATTTTTAACAGTGATATTGTATACCACTAAACCAAATAATAAGTTTTCATAGGAGGCAGTTATTATAGGGAAGGATCTCACTTTTAAGAGTATTTACTATTTAAAATTGATTATGATAATATTATATATACACTAAGAAGGTCAATCAGTTGATGAGTTAACCTAGAGAGTATTTGCTTTTATTTGAAAGTAAGTTTTTTTCCAAAGTCTGAAATGTGTTGTACTCTGAGGGAGTCCAGAAATGCACATGGGAAATGTTTACCAAAAATATGTCTGGAACTTTAGTAGATTCCATGTGACTCTGACTCCACTAGGAGTTTGGTCTGATGATCTTAATGGTCTGAAATAAACAATATCTTTAAAAAAGAAAGGAGCTGGAGAGTAATGCTAATGCTGGAGTTCAGCATACAGAAATCTAGGCAGAAAGTTGTGGGTTTTTGGTTGCTTTTTTAATGAGCAGTATTTGTTGTCACCATTTCTATTAACAAATTAGTCATTTCTAACAGTATTACGTACCTGTCTGTGTTGACTGTCAAAAACCTTCAAGTGATGCTTTGTAGTTTTGTAACTGAAAACGCTTTCTTGCAACATGACCTTGATAGACCGAACTAGAGCAGTTACTGATTAATGTTTCTGGTTGGTAAGAAACTATATGGGAATTTTTACTTTAAACATTGGTTTAAAGCAGAATGTGTTTTTCTGCTCACTTGGTTTTGTTGAAATGTACCTGATCGATTGAGCAACCTATAGGTACAGTAGTTAACATGAGCCTTTTCTCACCAGCGTTGTAGTGTTGTAGCTGTAGTGATAAAAAGAGTGCTCATTATATGAGGTAGGAGTGCTTTTTAGGTTTGATGAGACTTCAGACAACCATGTGTTCAGAAAAAATCTCTGGGGTTTTCAGGTTTTTTGTTTGGTTAGTTTGTTCGAGGTGTTGGGTTTTTTTTGTTTGGTTGGTTGTTTGGTTCTGTTTTTTTTTCTTTTTTTTTACTTTGCTAACTAATCAAGCAAGTCTAACTTCCTTGTTTTCTTTTTTGTTTGTTTGTTTGTTTATTTGCTTGTTTTGGGGGTTTCTTTTTGTATGATAGCTCAACAGAACCCAACAGCCCAGCTACCAGCCAGACAGCAAGAGATTGAAATAAACAGACAGCAACGTTACTTCCGCATCCCCTTCATCCGTCCGGCGGACCAATACAAAGATCCCCAGAACAAGAAGAAGGGTTGGTGGTACGCACATTTCGATGGGCCATGGATTGCTCGACAAATGGAACTTCATCCTGACAAGGCACCCATTCTCCTTGTAGCCGGTTGGTATTGAAAGCAAAATTCAAAACTTGAAAAGGTTCAGAGTTGATCATTTATTTTAGAAAAAGAGGCTGCAGGTACAAGTTTCCCAAGCTGTATCATCTATTTTTTTTTTTTTTTTCATCATTAGGAGCTTGTGTCTGTGCAGAATTTGAGGGTTTAGGATTACTGATGGTGGAGACCAAATGTTATGGAATATCATTTGGAGATGTAACTGGCCACGTGTTTTACTTGTACTTTAATCTGGCAAATCGTAGACAGGACGGGAATCCAAATGCTTTTATTATTGTGTCCTCCTATTATTCACTGAAGTGGAAGAAAAACATCATGATTTATTTGGGAAGGTTGTATTGGTCTTAAGTTAGCTTTCAAAAATTGCAGCAATTTGTATCAAAACAATTTGCACACCTGATCTGTTGTCTTTCCATAGTATGGTACTAATAGCAAACTGATGCTTTTACAGTATTTATGCTTCCTAGCATGGGAGAATAGGTTTTAATCTTAAGAATTTAAAATAAACACTAAATGTGGCAATGGATAGGTAAAGATCTGGTAATGAACTGCATCCTTCTTTTCTGGAGGATAAGGGAAGGGGGAGAAAAAACTGAAGAAACACTGTGTACATTTCTGTGTTTTGAGTTTTAGTATTTAACTTAGGGACTGAGGAAAAAAACAACCAATTCGTTTAGCTTCCAAATGATGTTTTACTGCCAACAAAAGTTCCTTTGTTTTCTGCTAATGATTTTGAATAGAATTCCTTATACCAACTGTTGCTTGTTCAGCGTCAAAGCTCATGGCTAAAAGTAACATTGCTGTCATGAATGCCACAATGAGCGGGTCACCTATTAAAAAACAAGATTAAAATATAGCAAATGAGCTAGACTCATCATTTCATTGGATTCTCTGTGCCGGTTCTGTTTGGTAAATAAACACCGTTTAGCAAGGGCGCCTGGCCCATTTAAGAATACTGGCTACTTGATCCAAGGTGTCAAGTTCTTAATCACATTGTTACATCTAAACAAATATAATAACAACAGCAGTTCACTGTAAAACTGAAAGTATGTGTATGTTATTTTTCTGCTATGTGTGTAAAAAAGACCCAAAACTTAAAGAAATCTGTGTCCAAGGACTGATTTCCCCATAAGCTCTGAAATCTGTTAAGAAACTAGAGCTTGAGAGAGGAAGTCTAGTTACCGGAAGTCTGACCTTTGAATTATGTGAAAGGTTTTTAAAGGTAATAATTTTTTTTAACCATTTCAGGTAAGGATGATATGGATATGTGTGAGCTTAATCTTGAAGAGACTGGCTTAACTCGAAAGCGAGGTGCTGAAATCTTGCCGAGACAGTTTGAAGAAATCTGGGAGCGCTGCGGAGGTATCCAGTACCTTCAAAACGCGATCGAGAGCAGACAAGCTCGCCCCACATACGCTACGGCGATGCTGCAGAACCTGCTGAAGTAAAGGGGTGATTTGCACGGTCGTATTCAAGATGAGAACCTCCACCTGTGACACAAAGGGAAGAGTTCCTCTGTGTGACAGAGGACCTGATCATTCTATAATCCTATTAGAGATGTTTAATATAAAGTGAACAGATTTTATTAATCATGTGGTTTGTTAATTTGTATTTTACGATGTTTAATTTGTGTAGTGAACCTTACTGGGTATGAGGACCTTGAAGAAACTTTGGTCAGTGTAGTTTGTTGCATTTTGTTTATATGTTGCATTTTCTTTAACAGTTTCTGTTAAAACTCTAACATGTTTAAGCAATCTGCCTGTACTTGGGTACATATTACAAAGAACTGCATTGCAACCACCTTGTTATAAAATCCCCTCTTTAAAACACTGAATAGTTGACTTCATGTGGTGAAATAGTAAAGAGGAGATGCTCTTTCTTATAACTGGAATTGTGAGGCCTTATCTTTGACTTCTGTTCCAGAGAAGTTGGAGTATACTTTTATATAATCTGAGACATTTTATGTCCTGATTTGAAAACTGGTTAGTGTTTGTATTTACTGATTTTTCCAGAAACTGATGGGAAATCCTCCTAAACCTGAGACGATAGCTTCTTATTTAATGTATTCTCTGTCTTGGTTTAAGAGCAATGATTTTCTGTACATTCTGAGAAGAGCATTCATATATGTCAATATTGTGTAATATTGGAGGTACTCAAAGAATGTACTGCTTATCAGGGCTTATACCACTTCATTTCTTTTTCTTTTTTCTCTTTAAATACGAATTCCCTTTAGACTTTTTATTTTTCTGACCAAATTTCCAGTAGGAATTCTTGGACAGTTTATTTATCCAGGTAGTGTAATTTCGATATATTCTGCAAAATTGTCCAAGACTTGTATCTGGAGGCATATGAGATTAAGGATAGCATAAGGGAATTCTGTTCAGCTTTTTGGTGGCAGTATAACTTCACTGAATATTGAGGCCTGAGCCTCAGACATCCTGTCTATTCTAATTGTAACAACATGTACAAGGTCATTAACTTTTGTTAGACTGTATAAAAATTTGGTCTGATAACCTAATTCATCATCTTAATATTACGTGCTGATGAAATAGCTACAACTTCGAGCATAATGGAATCTCACAGTGATTCGGACACTGATCTTTATCTTAATCTCTTCTGCCAACTTTCATAGCTTGGAACAGTTGCCCTATTAAGTCATTTGTTTTGGGAGATTTTGTGGGTGGGAATTACTAATTTCATATAGTTTCAGGATGCATCTTTTTCACTTATGTGAATGTTGCTTCACCACGCTGGCCATTATTTCAACAAATTAAAATTATTATTTCTCCAGTAGGAATTCAAAATATAAAAAGCTTGATGTCCAGTTGCTTATTCAAACTAATTTAAAAACAAAAGTCTTGCTCTATCAATTGACATGTAAGATAATTTCCTCACTGTTTACTCAGTTCAAAACCTCTTGGAAACTTTAGTTTTTTAAATGCATAAATATACTTACTTAATAACTTTCAAGAGGTACAGTTCAGTAGCACAGAGAAAGCTCTGATGCATACATCGTTGCTGACCTTAGGTTGAGCTTGTATGTCACAGTCTGCTTCTTGTTGTAAATGCACTCCTTACTGTAACACGTGTGGAGAGGTATTGGAGGAACACATTAACTCTGCGCGAATCTGCGACATCCCAGAACCTCAGCTTCCGCTACACACCCACTCTTGCCTTTTGGTCACATAATTGCAAGCGAGGAAATATTTTCATTTTACCCAAATTCTTGACTGAAGCAGTAAATTGAAAGGAGAAGGGCATCAGAACACTGGCTAGCAAGTTGTATACAAACCTCTTCAGTGTTGCCCGAGTTGAAAGGTGCTGCTTCTGAAATTTAGGTTACCAGCTTAACGTGTTAACTGAATTGGAACTGTAGTTTCAGAACTTCCAGTCTCCAGAAGCTTAGTGCTGCGAGGGTTGAATTTAACTTCTTAACACATTCCATTTCAGTTTTTATTTATATATATATATAAAAACCCCCAGATTTTAGGAGACTGAAAATGATAAGCAAAGAACCTCAATACTTCAGTGTATGTGTGTATATACACATATATATTCTTAAATATTTTAGTATATATATGTGTAAACATACTTGTGGGGAACTTAAATACAATTGTTAACTGAATTTTTCCAGCCTGTTCCTTTAATTATGCCAGGATTTCCTTGACTGGCATCAGAAAGAGAATTTCTGTTTCAGAATCTGGTGTGTGAATTCTTGTTAACTAAATGACTAACAAATACAAGTGATCAGGAAAATAGCGGAAGAGGAACTGGTGGCTGGATGTTCTCAAATGAGATCTCCAACCTCTCTGCATTGCTTCCAGCAGAAGATGCATTCCAAAAATTGGGATATTCTGGTTTGCACAGTTGCAGGCTTTTTTTTTTTCTCCTTTGTTTCATTGCACTAAAAGCAGCATTTTTCTTTTAGTTTTACTTATCTTTCTGGGCAACAAAGTTAATTTTAAATTCAAGGGTTTTTTTTCTTTGTTTGTTTTTCCTAATTACATCAGTCAATATTTAGCTCCTTACTGATTGTTTCTCTTGTCCCATCTACTCGTGTCAGATAATTATACTGTCTGTTGATTAAGAGAGGAAGTAAAAATGAGGGAGGGGGTTGATCTGTAAGATTGTTGCCATTCTGATCTATGGTTACAGAGAAAAACTTAATTTGTTTTTTAAAGCAAAATGACAAGGTAAGCATGTTGGCTTGGTTCTGTGTGTTTGTATTTTGGGGTTTTTTAAAAAATATTTCTTCCTGCCTCTCGGTAAAGCTGTCCATTAGAGTTGAGGTCTTCTGCATGAAACACTCCACTAAACAAAGGAGAGAAAGAGAATCCCCTGCTAGGCTGCATTCCTGACTAGGTGACCCAGGAATATGAATTTTCTAGAGAATGCTACTTCAGAGATCACAAGGTCGTCAAATACTTGTCTTTCATCGACAATAAGATTGTTTTTCTTTACCTAGTTGAATCTTGGTTTTTTGTCCAAAATCTTTAAAGTATTTAAATGACCTCCTAATACTGTACTGGAAATTTAAAAAAAATAAATTAAAAAATAAATACATTCCATGCTGAAATCTCAGTTGTATCTCTCTTACCGTTTGTCTTTAAAGATTTAAAGCTTAACAAGTAAGGGCAAATTAAACTACTAGAAGGACAAAAGGATTTCTTTGCTGAAACTGCCTGCTGCTTCTATATCTGATGTTTGTGATGCTTAAAACTTCCATACTAAAGGTTTTGTCTTTACTTTGTAAGGTAAGTGTTCCACTAAAGTAGCATTCCGATATTAAAAAAAAATAAATCTTGATTTTGCTACCTTTTAAATCTTATACTTAATTTCTCAATATTTATAGAAGCAAGTATCTTTTTACTTTTTTTGCTGATTTTTTTAACCTTTACTGCTATCAGTTCCAACATACTTATCATTTGCAATGTGTGTTGTGTGATCTTGACTCTTTTTAGCTTTTGATCGTGACTGCCAGTGACTGGTGAAACCACTTACGGTGCTTCAAGTTTATACGCTGCAGGAAAAACTCTTATGGTTGGGGTGGAAATGCCTTTTTTTTTGTTTGTTTTGGTTTGGTTTTTTAGGCTTGAGGGGGTTTTTTTGGTGGTATCGAACTTTCCTGCTTTAAGAGCCAGATCAGGGTGGTATTATACTTTTGATTTAAGAAGATTGAGTTTATTCAGACTTTTTAGGGACAGAACCAGGGGGAATGGTTGCAAGTTGCAACAGGGCAAGTTTGGGCTGGACATTAGGAAGAAATTCTTCACGGAAAGAGAGGGCA